CTGTGTATGGACGCGTTTTGTACAATAATATAGATATTCGAGGCATCTTTTGTGGCCAGTGCCGAGAATTAAATTGCGAATGTACTCCGTTACATGTGGATAAATCTTCCGTTTTACGTCTACATTGTGGACATCCACCAACAAGACATGTTTCGGTGAAGAAAAGACTCCTAATTTCGCGGTACTACCTTCCCTCCTATTTTGGTGGATTTTTATGTACCTCATAATTACGTATACTTTTTATTTTAACGTGTACCTCCAATTTTTGGCGGTACGCGCTTAAGAGCGTAGGCTCCCGTGCGTTTCTCGCGAGGACAAGCGCAGCTGGGAATTTCTGACGCACTTTCGGGCACGTTACGCATCGACCGACACGAGCGTCGCTTTATGCTCCCGGCGCCATTATCGCAGTAAAATTGACGGCTAGATGGATAGTGTAATAAATTGCAACGGCGAAAATAATATCGCGCGGGGAAACGTTGTCCATTATCGCAGTCACTCTGACGAAATTGGCGAGTAGGTGGAGAAGGAACGGAATATACGAGTTATCGCGGCGGAATATTGAATATAAACATCGAACAAAAGGGACTCCGCCGCCGTAAATTGGAAATTATTTACGGGAGCGCACCCAGAAAAGATTTAGATCAAATAAACAAGATACGTTGAAATCGTGTTTCTTTGATTCTACTAAATTTTTATTTACCTCTGCTGAAACATATTTGCTATAGATTTGCAGAAATAGATATGAATTCTCTTGGAGATTCCAGTCTCGATCGAGTAAAATTTTGGTCGAGGCAAAGAAATCATCTCTTTGAAAGCATATAAAAGTCCAGTAAGGTAAAAATTAAAAGAAAATTTCAAGAAAAACAAAATTAAAAGAAAATAGACGCCCGCCTAGAGTGTGGAGAAGTCCAGGTTCAAACCCTGGCTGAGGTAATAGTTTTCGCAGTAAATTTTCTGTATTAAAACACTGGGGTCGGTTAACGTCGGCTAAAAAGCTTGATTATTGTAATATATTACTGGCAGCTTAAACGAGATTTCTGTTTAAAAGAAAAATGTGTTCGCTTTCAATGAAACTTTTTTCCTGGATGCGGCGTCCTTTACGTCTATCGGCAGGACACTCAGAAACTGCGCTACCACAATATTTTCCCCGCGATACCTCGCTATTATTGTACATTTCCTGCTATAACGGTTTCTTCATTAAATTCCTTTAGGGTGATCAATCATTCACGATGCAGCTCGTGTAGTAGCTGCTGCGCTAGACAAAAGTCTGGTATCGAGTATAGCAATCAAGAAAATTGATGTTGGAACTTGTGAAGTGTACGTCGGCTGCTAAAGATATACGGTAAAGTGTTACACGCCTGTGTGTCGGTACACGAATATGTACATATCTACGTCTATTACATACCGCCGATAGAAATGCTCCTCGTATTCCCAGCGCGCTCCAATCGATTCATTATAATTTATTTATTTCGAAATGAAGCTACGAGCTGACACGCTTGTTCAATTTGCCCGTACATTAAAAAGGTCCGTACGCGAATATGTGTATACATTTATTATATACCGCCGTTGAAAAACGCTCTTTATATTCCTAGCGCGCTAATCGATTCGCTATAAATTCATTCGATTTGAAATGAAGATACGAGCCGGCACACCGCGCGTGTCAATTTGCTCGTGCATTAACGTCCATTCGCGCGTACGAATTGAGATAGCACTTATCTCCGATCCGAGTGAAATTTCACCTGTAGTTAACGTCGCGTTTCGTAACGGACTTGGCGCGATTGTAAAATCGAGGCGGGAGTAATGTAGAGACGGAGGGTTAAACGAGAGACACGTGGTCCCCCCCCCTCCCCCTCCCGTCTTCGTCGGTCGACAGCGATCGTTATCGCCGACGATAACCCGCGCTTCTCTCGGACGCTCGCTCTAGAACGCAATTTGCGGAGGAACAATCGCGGATCGCCGACAATTGCGAAGTGATAAAGCGGGACGCACGCACGTGCGTACGGCCCGCGCTTCAACACCGGTTGCACTTACACGCGCGTGCACTCGCGCGTACACATTTTAGCGTGTGGGTGGCTGCGATCACGCGCACACGCACGGGTGGCCCCCGGTGTGAACGGCCCACGTTCGTACGCGCGTTTTAAACACGCGCGCGTACGCACGTGTGCGGCTATATTTACGTACATGCGCGCGTACGTGTTATTACAGCCCGCCGCGTATTGTGTACGAGGGCGAGTTGTAACTATTTTATGATCGGCTATAGAGGACCGGGTTTACAGGCCGTTTCGAGCCTGCAGCGTCGATGGAAGAAACCGTGGCGAAGGGCAAGAGAGAAGAGGCCGGCGCGGCAGACCGGCGGATATAAGTAACCGACGGGGACCGAGTGTCCCGAGGGGGGAAACGCGGAGGCGGAGACGGAGGCAGGGCGGCTTCGCGAGAGATGGTGAGAGTATACCCGGTGTGTTCTACCCGGGGAATACGAGTTCGTATAAACCCGACACACGGCGTGTAATATCGGCCCCGCGCATTTTACATTCTCCTTACGTTTTATTTATGAGCGACGCACGATCGTCGCCGTTATCGATCGACGCTGACGACGCCGACGACGACGGCGGCGACGGCGATGGCTGTCCGGCGACGTCTGTCCGCCGTGTATAAATACGATATCTAGCTAAAAGCGACTTTACGTCCCCTAAAAATAGCCTATCAATCGGTGCGTATATCGACGAAGCGGACGGGTCATTTAGCGAGTATTACACGTGTCGTAACGGGCCTGTGCCGTCTCCGATGCGTTTACGACCGTTACAAAACGCGGGGGATTCGGCGCTAAATGACATTAACGATCGAAGATATATCGTTGCTCGATCTCTTGATCTTTGCAGCTTCGCGATATAACGCGACACATTTTCACCCGCCTACGGACGTATAAAATGTGCATTATACGCGCCCATAAAGTATGTGCTTCTTCAACTTTTCGTAAGGCCTGTGTCCACGACGCTAGAACTTGGTCCAAGTCCCAGCTCCGAGAAATGTGTAGCCAATCAACTTGCAGCTTTTATGGAATAGCACTTCACGAAACTAGAACTTTGACCAAGTTCTGGGCATTGTGGACACAGGCCTTTAGTGGAGTCTACTAAGTAAAGGGAGAAAGAATATTTGTAAAAGATACACACATAAGATATATAAGTATTATGAATGCTAGTCCTATTCTAGATGCTTCCAGTAGGTACTGCCCAACGTTCCAGGAGTTCGAGATTATTTTAGAGAGGAAAGTTTGTACAAACATATGGTCCCAGAGGCCTCGTTTCAGAGTGTTCAGGATTCTCGACGATTTCCACGCATTTCTTCATATCTCTTAAACGCAAAAGAATCAAATTGTACATTAGTCGTGTCTCAATTCCGTTAAAAGCACTCAGATGTCTCGTTTAAAATTATTAATCGCGAGTTTGAAAATGAAGTTGTTTGAAGGCTACTAAGGGGTTCGTTCCACTTTAACGCCCCAAAACCATGCTTATCTTAATAATTTTTCTCGCAGTGAATACAACATACAATGAAATAAATCATTTTGGAATTTATTAGGGCACTCTTAAATAACACAAAACAAATTTTGTCACAATTTAAACAATTGTTTAATTAAGCGTTTTCTACACCGTTCGAATGGCGTGTCGAAAAAGACGCAAGTTCGCTGCGTTGATGACTTTTATCATTCGGGCTTACGCGAAACAAAAAATCAAAAAGATCCTTAAGGGGATGCTGGAGTAGTTTGATTTACCGACAGAGTCGGATACCGTTTTTGCGTTTATAAATCTTATTATGTGCATTTATGTACAAACTAATACCAGACCCAAGTGTAGAATGCATAGTAGAACATTTTCATATAAAAAACATTGAGGTTTGAAGTCTAATTCGTATCGCATTATGTATTACAAATATTGCAATACATAATGCGATACGAATTAGACTTCAAACCTCAATGTTTTTTATATGAAAATGTTCTACTATGCATTCTACATTTGGGTCTGGTATTAGTTTGTACATAAATGCTACATAATTATTTTGGTTTGTATCTATAATATGACATATTGAGGTTACGT